ACATCCTCTTTTTTGTGATAAATTTAAAAAATAAACACTTAGTTGGCAATATATGGTTGGCCGAGTAAAGTACATATACATCAAACTTGTACTTGCGTACAGTACAGGAGTAAATCTGCTTAGTACTTTCCACTAGTGCAAGATACCTTTGACCTAGTGCTTGTTCTTTCTTCATCAGGTGAAGCACTTATTGTCTTTAAGGCTCCAACAGAACATCCTAGTACAAGCAGTAGTAGTACAAGTAATAGCTTGGACTTTAGAAATACTGAGATCATAAATAAAACAGATATTCCATTAATTTTGGAAACGTTTCCGTGTGTCATTAATTCATCTGCTCTGTTTATATATACTGCATGTTTAAACAGTTGTATTTCTTCTCCAGAAGAGGGTCTAAAAGCTGTTTTCTGAAAAGAATAAAGAAATGTATACATGCATAATTTCAGGTATACATTTCTTTATTCTTTTGGCCTAAAAAAAAACTACATTTCAAACATGTAAGCTGCACTTCAGGTGCATAAATTCTCAGAGAAAAACAAGCCACAACCCCTAATATTCTGTTGCATTCAACTGCTGCCTAAAATAGTACAACACTGACCTCTTGTGGCCTGAACTAGACATTGTACTTGTAGAAGCAGCATTGACTTAAACGGACAACTGCCATTTGTGGCCCATTCGTCCATTCATAAAAACACTTATTTTTTTCAGGGGCATTGGGCGCATGCATTGGTAGAGGTGCACCGTAGCTAGTCACAGGCCTTACACACAAATCTACAATCACAATCACAGCTACAGGTAGTTAAGAGTTTCTAAACCATGCATGTTTCTGCACTGTGGTAGGAAAACCCACACAGACACGGAGAGAAAATACAGCAGTGAGCCAAGGCAGCTTCACCAAAACAATAGGAGTGGTATGCACATACCAAACAATCTTCTGTTTCCCCATCTGCCACAGACAGATCTCATTTCAAAGCCCACAAGCAGAGGGGAGGGATGTTTACAGTAAAGTCCAATTATACTTTTTTCTGCCAGAGCACATCCAATAAACCCTAAAGCCGATAAATTATAGTTGTCATGAGTGCAGTCATTTAGAAGTGAGGCAGTAAGCTGCCCCAAATCTTTATGTGGTCCTTAAATTACGGCGGCTTTCTCTGTAGGAGAACACTAGCTGTGGATGTTGGAGTGAAGCCAAACATGTCTCTGTTTGGGCAATCTGTTGTGCTGCAATGTAAACTGAGCCGAATCCCTCAGTAGGAGGACCTGTGAGGGGACTCACCCCGACGCTACGGCTTCCTACAGAGATGTGAAGCCCATCAGGTTCAGAGATATGTACAGTGTCTCTTCTGTAAATGCTGCATTCACACATGTAAAAGAGCTGATCTTGTGTGGTTCAAGTCTGATGTTTTTTATTACCTGGCAATTAGATGGAAAGAAACTACATGGAGTGTGTGGTAAAGCAGCCATAGATGCATACTGTATGCACGCAGCACAAGTCTATCGGAGGACGTGGTCTGTTCCGGTCTAATTCATTGGTATGAATCCTCAAATAAACACACATGAACAAACATACAATAGCTCCCTGCTTTCGTTCTGTTTGTTTTGTGTTGTTGCTCGATTTTTTTAAAGAATTACTCAGCAACCAGCAGGAAACAGCAGGAATACCTCCAATCTCTCTGTTCCCTCCCAGAGAGGTTTGGATGGGGAATAAAACTCTACTGAAACAAGCATCACTTCAAGCCCATGTGGACTAGAGTATATTGGTAACATGAGCAGACCCGCAAGGATGCTTTTTATGAGAACACAAAAGTACCAAATGTAGCAATGATATGAAGTAATCTGTTGCATGACAGTTGGAAGAAGCTGGTCATCCTGTCTATGCCATCCAGTATGACAGAACCATGCAGAGTTGGTGATGTTATTTAGATGTAAATTCAGAATCAGTGACTTGTTGATGAGGTCAGCTGCAGATTGAAAGAAACTGTTTTTGTGGTGTGAGGTTTTGGTCCCGATGGACCACAAGCATCCTGCCAGAGGGGAGTGTCTCAGTTTGTGTCCGGGGATCAGCCACAATCAGAGTCCTGGAGGCGTACAGGTCCTGGAAGGATGGTAGTGTAGAAGTGCACCATCATTGTCTTTTTAGCGGAACTTCTTTACCTGCTGGAGGAAGTTCATCCTCTGCTGGGCTTGAGGTCCTGGGAGATGGTGGTGCCCCTGAAGTAGAAGGACTCCACATTGTTGACTGTGGACTCACATGAGTCACAACCAGTCACAACACTGTCTTTAGAGAGTTGAGCTCCAGATTGTTCTGGCTGAACCAGGTCACCAGATGGTCAATCTCCCACCTGCAGGCAGACTCATCCCCACCAGAGATGAGCCAAGTGGGGGTAGTGTCATCTTGGGCTTTGAAAAACAAAACAATTTGGGGTAGTGGAGTTAGAAAAAGTGTTTAAAAAAAGTATACCAGACATCTGTAGCCCACTCCTCGTCTCTTTCTAGCAGAGCCCTCTGTGGACTTCGTGTTTCTGTCTTTCCGACAACAGATTTGGTTGACAGACAAGTTTTGAGAAATGTCACATCTTGTTCTGTGAGGCCACGGAGAGCTGTGATCATGTTTTATGTGTGTGTGGTTGGCAGGAAACAGAGGGCAGGGGGTCCCACTGTGGCCCTGAAAATCTTTAGTTTTTAAAAGTAAGTTGGTGTACTTCCATATCCTAGTGTGTTGTGCTGTTACTCCCTGGTTTTCTGTTTCATCTCAGAAAAGTAACAACTGCGTTACTCATTCTGGGCTCCACCATACTCAGTCTTTCAGCAACAGCTGAAAACCACAATTTATTACAGTGAATGTATGTAAAGTACAGTGTATCCCTTGAAATATAAATAATTTCCAGGATTATTTACCACATTATTCTCTGTCAAAATGCCATGGCATTCCTGAAAAACTGATAAGGGTGAACCTTGGGTGGGAAATATAAATGGTTTATTTCTATTCTGTAGCTTGGCAGTAGTTACACACCAACCGAACATTTGATTTTTATCCTTTAGCAGATGAGACAGACTGAAACTTCAACAGTCGGCTGTCAGTAAATCAGAAAAACCCAGAAAACTGTTCAGGTTCAGGTTGAAAATGAGGTTTTATTAAGTCAAATAAAAACCAAAGGCAGTGATGAGGTGAAACACACAAAACAATATGGGAGAAGAAAAAACACCAAGATCAAGAGGAATGTAATAACTATAAAGATGCTGCCATTTTAATAATACATTTGATTCACGATTCATGACTTTGGAAATAGTAGTTTGAAAAAAGGGAGAAAAAAAGGGTAGGGTTAGGGTTTGGGTTAGTGGTGAATTGTCAGTTTGACCAGTGGCAGCCACAAACATTTAGAAGAGTATCCACAGATTTAGATTTAGCACTACTGTAACACTGTCAGACTCATAAGTGACAGTTTAATAAAAGTATCAAAATAGATACAGCAGAACTCTTCCTTATAAAACCCTGGTGCATTACCCACAATGCAACTCAAATGCAGTCAGTTTTGGTTGGCGAGTTGAGCGTATTACGCTAGTGGCTGCTAATGTAGCCTAAAGCTGCTAACCTCAAGCAGAGTTGAAGAGTGGACTACAGAGTTCTGATAAGCTCACTTCTTCCCACAGCATCGGATTCTTTTCATTTTCAAACTTGTAGTTTTCAGACCCAAGTGACATGACTTGGCAATTTGACACATTTGACACTGCACACAGTTCCCTCCCTCCTTATACAACGTCACATTGTATAACTTTGTTCACATGCTGTGCGCAGAAGTACTCCCCAAAACTTGTTAATAGAATGTGATGTGTAATATCCCTTTATCATAGAGGCACAAGCCTGTGTTGAAATGCAGAGCACCAGAAGTAACATTTATTGGTTTCCATACAGCAAAAGAGACTCTGTAACACACAGTGATGTATCAGTTCATTTGGAATACGAGATAATTAATTTACCATATAAGGTAACAGACCCCCTGTTCTCTGTTACATACAAATCAGTAATTATTCAAATTACAGCCAAGTCCATGCCACGCAGACACCGGGGGGCCTGGGGGCCCATGAGGGCTTGGGGTCCCCGGGCAGTTGCCCGCTATGCCTGGTTGGTAATTCAGCCTTGTATGCACTCAATATCACACAGGTGTCCTGTGCAAACATCAGCAGATTGAAAGAAACTAGCAACACATTTTTTTGTTCTCTGCAAATCAAGGAGCACAGAACAAATAGGTTTTCTGGGAAATGTGATCTTAATTCAGAAGAGCACAAAGACTAGAAGCACCGTCACTGGCATGAGATAAAAATGGTATTAACAAATGATTACATTTTTTAACTGGCATGACCATGTTCAGTGTCAAAAGCAATTTGTTATGGCACTAAATCATTACATTTTATTTATTTTTCTTAGGTATGTGACTTCTTCTTGCATGTGGTTTTCATCTCTTTAGGATAAGATCTCTGGCATAAAGGGTGTAAATGTATATCATGTCTTTGTTTAAAAACCACACTTAAGAATGTGGTACGCGCTAATGAAACTCTACTGATCCTTTTCTTCTAGATTGCTTTCTCTACAAAAGGTCAGCGGTTAGAAAAATATAGGCATGCCCCTGAGGGGTGGTGGAAGATCCCACAGTTCAACTCCCGTTCATACAGCTGAAGGCCAGTTCACCTCTTCACTGCTTCACTCTGCTGTTCCCTGAGAACACAGCCTCCTCTGGTCAGGGTTCACCTACGCTATGAGAAATAGTGCAGCTCCGGTGGATTCAGGAAGATTTCCTGCTATAGGACACTTAGAGAGAACACAAAATATTGCCCTTGAACACATACCAAGTTGAAATATAGCCATGGAGTTCGTTCAGCTCTCGGTTCTAAACTTTTTGTCTCGAAATCATAACAAGCACCAGGAACTTTGTGTCTTTAGGCTCTTTTCTCCATCTGAAATGTGCATTAACTCTCAACAGAAACAGAACAGCAGAAGCATGGTGTAAAATATGTACATGTCTTTTATTGGCATACAAGTTTTAGATTAATAAAACAATGGAGGTGAACTGAAAAAAGAACATAGAAAAGTTCAATTAACTGAACTCCAGATAAATAAAGTAGGAATCAAAAACTATTAATGGAACTTTATTTACATGACTAGACATCAAGATAATTGTTGATCTTTTAGCAAAGGCATTCAAAATGTATACTTGTACATGTAGTAAATTCATAATAAACCCCCACCAGCCATACATTCTACAGTACATTCTACCTTTGTAAAGGTTTCACTAACATTACATCCTAGTCTTAGGCTTCAGATGTTTGTTAGCAGTAAGTGAAGAAAGCAAAGATCTGACTGACATGATTTAACAGGCCTGGTCACACCAGAAAGTGGTTTAGTGAAATGAATATGTGCGTCAAATATTTGGTTCTAGATGCTTGGTGACATACTGACCGTCCGGCGGAGCTATTTAAGTTCTCCAAGCAAACCTGTTAGCTTAGCCTAGTCGCTAACAGAATAATAGGTTCACATAGTTTCTTTAAAGACATATTTGTACTCATGACTGGCTGCAAACCATTCCTCTTGTGTGAGGCAGTTCATACTCTGACAGAGGAGGTTACAGGAAAGTGGATGGTACAACCCAGCTAATTACCTATGATGGCTTCCTTCATCCATTTTGGACTCTGCCTTCAAAGGTCAGCACAGTCAAGTTGGCTTGTCAGTGCAAATTTGAGAGTCAAATTCACCAAAGTCGAACATGAACTCAACATAAAACATGCTTATTTACTCTGCAAGATAATTCACAAACAGGCGATTCTATTGTAATGAATTGAAATTACTGCAGAATTTCACGATTTCAAACCCTGGTGTGAGCAGGCCTTCAGACTTTAACAAAGGCAACATTCACAACCATTACAGGCACAGTCCACTAACAAGAGCACTTTTAATACTTCGGTCAAAGGCAATCTCACAATATATGAATATATGCTTATTCAATAATCTACAGTAGTTACCAAACACTATGCATGGCACAGTTAAAAAAAACATGACTTGAGAAGTAGTATTAATAATATTACATGCTAAATACAGAGCGAGCACACGTTTCTGTGTTTCATAAAGAATCTCTTAAATCAAAGATGCACATTAAGGTTTGAATCTGTATCGATTTGACTGGAATGTTTGGATCCTGACAGAGTTCAGTGTTTTCAGTTAACTAGAAGGTCAAACGCTACAAAGGAAACATGCAGGAAAGACGATAAACTACCAAGCACCTTTACAAGAATACATGAGTAAGAATAAAGCAAACAAACTGTGAGGTGCGGCACATGCAGAAAATCCCACTATTAACCAGATCTCCCTGCTTCTTGATTCAATTATATCCTCAGTTCAGCCAAGACAATTACTTAAAGCATGGGCGTGGGTGAGATCCATAATCATCATCTTCATAAAAATAAGTTACCCTGTGTGTTATTATTTGAAAACAGTGTCCAAAAAAGAAAGAAATATTCAAAAGTTCATAATTCCACAAATGCTACTAGTCAAAAATGTGTTTGAAGTCCAAAATAAACTAAGTATAATTTACTCATGGCATGAAGAATGTCTATAAAGTGTGTATGTGAGTGAGTCCATACGTTTTTCCATGAGATCCTTTTCTTTTCTCCAACCAAATACAAGCATATAACAGCAGGACAACTTAAATCCTCAATGGATAAATAGGTCAACAATGATAAAACAATAGCTGAAGTGTCAGGTATGAAATCTCAAACATGGTCACAATGGACACTCTGAATAGAACATGCAGTTGATCGGTAGCAGAAAGGGATAGATTGTAGAGACGCAGTATTAAGGGTGCAGGTCTGGGTGGTCCTCGCGAAGGTGGGCATTGGTGCTGGGCTGCTGCAGACCCTGTAGCATCACTCAGCCAAACTACTGTTCCAGAAACAGACAGATTAATGTGAGTGAGCATTATATACAACGTTTTCACAACAGACGCTTTGACTTTTCATAGCAAGAGAAGCAGTGTGTAAATAACAGTGTTACTTCCAAAATGTAATACATTATAGATTACTAGTTTCTGTCATTTGAGAGTAATTAGTTATATTACGATATCACTGTCTCTGAATTGTAATGTGTTACACTACTTTTGAGTTACTTTCACTGCTGTTTAATGGGCTTATTATTCTGATAGTAAGATGTGCCTGAATAGGTGGGTTCTAGTGATGTGCAGAGTTATCTGCAGATAATCTTCAACTTTATTTATCAAAAACTTATTTTTTAAATGTATTTATTTATGTATTTTTAATATTTTTGTCTGTTTTATTCTCCCGTTGAATTTTCTATCCTGTTTATTTCACCAATGGTATTTATTTCTGCCTGTCCTTTTTACATTTCTCTATGCGTATCTGCCTCATTATGCAAATGAGGAGTGGCTGTATCTCAAGGGGTGAACTTCTCTCCTATTGGTGGACCAGTCAGACGGGAGAGTTCTAGGCCTACTCTGCCTGCACACATCAACAAGCTTGCTCGTCACACAGTCAGATGGCTTCCTTCAGTGCGCTGAGGTGTTTAGCAACTCTATTTGAAGACAATACTACCAGCCAGGTCTTCCTTCCTTTTCGTGTGGACGCTCTGACAGACAGTGCTTTCAGTTTGCTGCATGCATGAACACAGAACTGCAGTACAGGGAGAAGCACACGGTCAGCTAGCTGCAGCTAAATCTGGAGTGCACTCGTATTCAATTCTGTATGGTAAATTCAGTTTTAATGGAGCAGAGCAGTTAAGAGACTCTTTTCTGTCTGTTTCTCTCTTTACAAAAGACACATGTTGCAGTCTGAGAGTCTTATCTGAAGAGGGCAATTAAGTATCAAAGTATACGATGCGAGCACCACATACAACATAATTTATACAGTATGTAAATAAGATTAATTGGATTATATTCACAGGAAGTATAAAACTTGTTACATGCGTCTATTAAAAGTAAAATAACACAAAGATGTCAGGGAAATTACTTTACTTAGATTTCAGGACTGCAGTTGTACATTTGAAATACCTTCCTACCTTTCTGATAGGAAGCCTTCTTGAGGTGGTGTAAAACATTTCTCCTTAAATTCTGATTTGAGTTGTGGACAATTATGACCACATGAATTAAAAATATTAAACATTTCACTGCCCAAGTCAGCTATAACACAAGTCTTGTTCATTAGACTACATGCTGTACAGTATTTGTGGACAGATTTTGTCCCAGGATTTATTATGCCTTTCTTCTTCACTGCATGATTTAGAATAATAAGTTGAGAAATGGGTCTGTTCTAAGTTTATCCTGCACTGCAGCAGCTAATAAAGCACATTTAATCCCAAAAAGCCTTTTCTTTTTCTTTCAGGCAGGCTGGAGCGGAAAACAACTTACCTTTCTCAAGTTGTACAGTAATATCACATATGTGTATGAAGGTGGATCAAACGCAGCTAATCTTCAATGTCAAAGTAGAGAGGAGCCTAAGCCTATTTATTTTCATTCATTACACAAGATGAATAAGCTATGCAGACAGTTGTAAAAAAATCTTGAATGTTCTCCACTTGTTATAGTTACACAGTAATATTAGGGATGTGGGTATCCACTGTCCTCCCATGCTCTCACACACAGTAACGATGAGATGTGTGCTGTTTTCCCCATTCTTCCTATGTATCTACACATAAACAACAAGGCATGTAAGAGGAAATATAAAAGGAATTTATTTTATTATTTGGGGATTATTTTCTTTGTTGCTCTCCTTTTCCTCTGACGGATATGGTCAAGTTCTCCGCATGCCACCTCCTGTCTTCTGTGCAAGACATAGAAGTACAGTAACTAGCCTTCATTAACTCATTTCGACTGGTTAAGTGCAGTAAAGTTAACTTTAAATTGACCCCATTACCACACATTAAACACAGCTTGATAGCAATCACATTTAACAGAAGCATAAAATTCTTCTTAATGGTAACTGTCAAGATTAGTTTATTTGTTAGTCACCACCCCTAGCTTAAGAGCTTTAGGCTATAGAAAGCCTAAGTCACTCACTTCCGCTTCCGGCTCATGGGACCTTATTTTGGAAAAATTATGTACGGTAGTCAATGGCGAGAGACAACTTATCTTTTTATCCAGTTAGAATTGGACCCTGAATTACACATATGATGTTGGTCAATTTAAAATAGAATTTTGCAAGTCAAGAAAAATTGTTGTAACATGTAACTTTACTGTTGTAAAACAGTCGTTTTGTTTGAAACCGCTCAATGAACTACATCTCTCGTCTCGCACAATATACGCTACCAACATGTTAGCGCGGTAAAGCTAGCTAACGTTCATTGTTTTCTTGCTACTAGCTAGATAATGTAGCTATGTTCCACGCAGAAATATATCTCAACTGACAACGACACTCGGCCCTTTTATCACATCATACTCTCATGTAAGTGTTTTGATGTTAGCTTCAGTAACGTTAGCTTCAGTCGTTGACAGAGAAAGTTATGACGTCACATACGCGACTTTTGGGTTTGTGGTCTTTGTTATAACATATTTTCACAGTCATATCTCAACAATTTACATCAAACTATGACCTTCTTTAATTTAAAATGTATCTTTCAAATCAACAAAGATCATACGTGTAATTCAGGGCACAATTCAAACTGGATCAAAATATTTATTGTCTCATGCCATTGACTACCGTACAATATTTTTCTGAAATAAGGTCCACCGAAAGGGGAGGGACTTAGGCTCTATATGATATTAACACTACATTTATTAGCCTAGTGGCTAATGGACTTTTACTCTCCTCACAGCTTAACAAACTGCATGTATTATTCATAATATTTCTTACTCACCGCTGGTTAAGCCACTGCATATCCCATTGAATTTTCACCCTGAATGGCGATTTTGTGGAAACAGCAGTTAATAACTGCACAGCAACGAGCTGCTCCGTGTGGGAGCATTTACCGTAAATACTCCAATAGGAGTGCACTCCAGATTTAGCTGTGGCTAACTGACCATGTGGCTCTCAGAAACAACAGCTCACTTTCCTGCAGATCTATGTCTGTATAAGTTGCTAAATGTAAACTCTGTAGGTCAGAGCATCCATATGAAAAAGAAGGAAGACCTGGCTGGTAGTACTTCTTCAAATAGAGTTGCTAAACACCTCAGTGCACTGAAGGAAGCCATCTGACTGTGTAAGGAGCAAGCTTGTTGATGTGTGCAGGTAGAGTAGGCCTAGAGCTCTCCCGTCTGACTGGTCCACCAATAGGAGAGAAGTTCACCCCTTGAGATACAGCCACTCCTCATTTTGCATAATGAGGCAGAAATGCGTAGAGAAATGTAAAAGGGACAGGCAGAAATAAATACCATTGGTGAAATAAATTGGGTAGAAAATGCAACGGGAGACTAAAACAGACAAAAATATTAAAAACACACATAAATAGATTTAAAAAACAAGTTTTTAATAAATAAAGTTGAAGATTATAATCGCCAATAAATAAATAAGTTAATTATTACAAAGGTGAATAAGAAGCTAATTAAAATAGATATATACATTTATGACATCTTGTTTAATTTAATTACATCACATACACATGTCAGGATCAGTCCTCCATATCAGGGGAGCTACCATCTTGTTTAGAGGAGCCAAGCTCCCCCATAGTTTGCACACTGCCTATAATCTCAACCATCGGATTCCCGCAACAGGAAATAACGTTAGGCTACTCTTTTACTTATGGATTTGTTTTTCTGCTGCCGAAATGATTCTCAGTGTTACACCACTTAAGTTGGGGTTAAAATGTGTTGTAACGCGTGTTACTAAGATTGTAACGGATATAATCTATTGATTTTTGTTAGCAATGTGTTATCTTACTGCGTTACAGCAAAAAGCTATACATTACAGTAATTGTGTAACTTTTGCAACATGTTACTCCCAACACTGGTGTAGTTGTCATCAGCCAGTTATATAGTTTATGTTCATTAATAATTTAGTAAGCTGAAGATAATTAAGGACATACACGTGACAACAAAGTTTATGTAAAGAGAGAGAGATGTAAAGTTATTAGTGGCACTGTTATCATTAGAGGTGGTGGTGATGGGGCAGTGAATAAGACACATGCCTTTGGTGTGAGAGACCCGAGTTCGAATTCACTATGAGACACCAATGTGTCCCTGAGCAAGACATTTAACCCCTAGTTGCTCCAGAGGCATGTGACCTCTGACATGTATAGCAATTATAAGTCGCTTTGGATAAAAGCGTCAGCTAAATGAATAAATGTAAAATGTAATGTAATAAAGAACGCCTGACCGATCCGACAGAGTATGATGTTTAGAGATGTTATGAAGATTAAGTAAAGACTATAAAGCTTGACGGTTCCTTTTACTCCCCGAGTTAACGCGGCCAATGAGTTACAAAGTTATTTGTAAGGTTTTACGTTCTGTTTATATTATTGGATAGGCTAACTACAGCTACTATATTAGCAGAGTTTCACGATAGCATCGTCCATCTGAATGTCAAGTAAGCTAATTATCTGCAAGTTATTTTGGGTTTAGGAAATATATGTTTAATGATTATTCTCTATGAGAATACTCTGTATTTTATTAGACTCATTTTATGATTTGTGCATTTTATTTCGTCTAGTTCTCACGGCATGCTTGATAACATGAATAAATGCCTGCAACCAAAGGAACGCCTTGTGTTTGTGATTTAAACTGGAGGGGAGCTACACTTGGTAACTAATAACTGATAATAAGAATGCAGAGAGCATGTGGTGCTTGGTTTGTTGAGACAAGCATCATATGAAGAGAGCATTTGTCTTTAGTCTTATAAAAGTATTGGTATCAAAAGCAGGTACAGTTCTGTTGGGTATTTATTAAGTAGAATAAAGTAAATGCTGGCGAAAGTGCTATACAAATGTTTTCAGAATACTTTATCAAATGTGTACAAACAGGCAATGATATATTTCATATGTCTATTAACTTGCCCTGTAAAAATTATCCTTGGCAGGTGAGGAAAAACAATTTTAAGGCAATTAAAATAAGACAACCTTTTAATCAACACTGTCCAACATTCCCCACTGACGCTAAATATTTTTATGTGTGCAGCCTAATTTACAGGTTTGTTGGTGTGCTGTGGCCAAGCAGCGGGATCGTATGCCGAGCCAAACGACACCTTTTCAAGCGCCCAATGTCTTTTGGACGAGATGCCAGGACACCGACTTGGCGCCATCTGCTTCTGAATGAATACTCAGCAGTCAGGAGCTGTGTGGGCCAAGTCTAGTTTTTCTATAGTGCGGTCATCCCACTAGAGGCTGATCCATCATGCTGTTCAGGCCTTCACCTGGGAGGCTCCTGGCCAAACTAAAAACCCTGCCTTAAGCCAGCTAGGCCTTCAGCCATAATCGCGAAGGAGAGGGAATGGGAGAAGACGGCTTGATAGATCTGTGGTGAGGGTCAGTGCTGGCATTTTTTTCTTCTGGAGCAGCAAGGGGCCAATAATAAGTCAACATGTATTTTTTTTTTCTTTTTCAAGCCAAAACGTTACAAGGCTCAACCAATTAAAACTAAATAAATAAAAGTGTTTATTCAAAAGGAAAATCCCTCCAAAATGCTCCAAATCACGGGGCACTTATCAATATTTTCTATACAATGGATAAAATGTGTCATGTACAAAGAATTTTGAGCTCATTGTTCTGGTTTTCTGACCTGCCACTTTACAGTTTTAGTTTAGCCCCACTGCTCTAGTCAACCTCATTTCCAGGCAGCTGTTTTCAGTTAAAAAAGGCTGAGGAACCCACTGTACACTACCTGCACAGCACCATATGGTATACAGACAAAGTTAGCTACATGCTGTCAGCTAAACAGCCAAATGTTTTGCTCTTTTGGTGGAGACCAAAACAGAGCTTTAAACAGGCAGATGTTCCACATTAGATGTTATAAAGTAATACTATGTCAATGATTTTGAGGTTGTTATTAAGTATTACTAGGTCAATGACTTTCAGCTTTTTATGCTGCTTAACAAACAGTAGTAGATGGTGACGATGGTGAACGGGCAAAAAAGGAAGCTTTGTCGCAATCAAATTATGACAGAGCTTAATGACAACTTAATGGCAAACATGAGTTTTAATAAAAGGCTTATGTTGGTCTGATACACTGATTTATTAGTCTAAGCCTGGAGGAGACAGAGGAGAAGAGACCCTGGCAGGATGAAGAGGCTTAAACACTGGGAAGGACAGAATCTATGTGTGCTCAGTTCACTAGCTGGCTGTGGTTTACCCAGTCTTTGACCATGGCAAAGCTCCAACGCACTCTTCTCTCAACAGCTACTTATAAAAGTCCTGAGTTTGCATTCCTCAATAGGACATGTATATGTATCAATGCACTCAGCAGGAATTTCAAAAGAGAAGATTAAGCCCTGCATCTGTCTGTACGGTAGTAGGGCAATGGTTTATCCATCCACAGGGGTCCTATGGTCTTAACACAGTTGCCAAACACAACATTCCCCATAGGTAAAATATTTATGGGGTATGTCTTACTCCTGCCTGATGGCAGTGTCTACGCCACAGTGCAAACTGGGCCCTGTCCAGCGTCTATACAAAGTACTTTTCAGTATGATTTGGGCCCAGCTCAACCTAGGATGACACTGTGAAAATGAGCTTCCCTGTCTTCAGTACACAAGAGGAAAAGAAGGGATTTACTGTGACAGAGATTGAAACAATTTATGGGATGAGATGTGCTCTTGAGGCAAAAACCATGAGGCGTCTGCCAGGCTGAAAGATTTGCAGATACATAAAAGCCATCTGTGGTTGACGATTATTCTCTCTCAGAACGTTTCAGCATTCAAATGAAACAAAGTGCGTAGCAGGATAGTACATGACTGCTATGGAATGATAACTGTTGAGGGATGCTCTTAAGGAAACTTATTTTAAAACAGCGTAAATGACGAAGAGGAAATTTTCTTTGTTGGGAAACATTTCCCAGAAATTTCAAATTAATGACACAATTTAAATCATTTTTGATGACATGCTGTCCAGTGTAATAAAAGTAAAGCATAAATAATACATGTAATTGTATTGCTGCTTGTCTAAGTTGAGCATAGTTCTGATATTGTACCCAGTGTACCCTGGGTGAGCCACAGGAACAGGATGTAACTTAAGTAACCAGTGTATGACAGACCTCCATAATTGTTCATTCAAGTTCTATTTAGGATCTATTTTCTGTAGCAGCCTATGTTCTCTCAGTTAGGTTACGGTTAGGCCTCTCTCTCTCTCTACACCTACCTACTGTACATGCTACTTTACAGTACTTCCCTCACTGAATAAAAAGGCACATACAGAATATTTATGAATGAAAAGCCTTTGCACATTCCTTACATTTAGAAGTCAGAAGCAGAGCAAGAAAACTTCAAGGGCTGAAACAAAGAGTGGTTCTCAAAGTGGGGGGTGGTGGATGTCGAGCGGACCGAGTTGCATGAAAATGATTCATAAACAAAAGTGCTGTGATAATAGCACAGTTTTTTTGCTAATCGGAATCTTGCTCGTTTTTTTCCCCAATTGCCTAATAGTTAATGATTGATAAAAATGAAAACAAAACTTTCTTAGAAGAGTAAGAATATATGTGCCAAAATGAACACTGAATTAAACTTGTGTAGCAAAATGTAGAAATCACCAGCACTCACCAGAGCCACTTACACTTAAGTGTTTATGAATTAAATGGGAGTCATAAGCAAAGTATGAAATACTCATGGGAAGTGTAGTTATTGAATGCTAACAAAATAATTGCTGTTAATATAGTTAAAATAATTAGGTGTTCAGATGGTGCTGTCCAGTACTAATTTACTGCACTATACTCCACTAGCATGTTTCAGCTTTTTAGAAAGGTCAAATAAAGAAAAATACATGGTCTGGTTTAAAATGGTGGAAAAGAGACAAATTAAATGGTGTCAGGTTCTTCAGCTCTCTGTTGCCTGAAAATTATGGTTGGAAGCATTTTAATCACTCTGCTGCGGTCACATCTTCTCATATTTTATATTATCAGTGTGATTGATTCTTCCCAGTGAGCGGTTTGTATTTACTAAATGTTTGATAACAATAACGATGTAAAAAGAGAGAACTATCTGCAGCAGTTTGTTTATTTTATGTTGATTTTAAATGTACCAATATAAGTGAGACCATTTCAGAGAATCAAACATGCAAGTAAGCTTTTGAGACACAATTAAAACAAATATTTCACTGCAGGATGAGCAACGCTTTCCATGTGAAGCCATGAAATCCCACTCTCCCACTGACACGGATGTGGTAGAAGCAGGCAGCCAGAAAAGTAAATAAGGAAACGGACTATTACTAAAATGTGATAATTGTTTGATTACGGCTGCTTAAAGACATGTAAGTGCAGCGAGTGTGCAGTTGTGCTGAAAAGGACACTTAATCACTTTTCGGGTTCAGTTACAGGGTTTGGCTCCTTCATGTGCTCTGGACAGCAGAGACCTTAATGCGCGTCCTGTATAGCCTTCAGTCGAGTGACTGACTGAGCACTGAGCACTATGCAACAAGTGGGCAGAATCCTTAAATGTTTTATGAAACAGCCCGCCTGACTGTATAGCAGTTCACTAATATTACTCACAGATGAAGAGGCTTTAAACTTTGATGTGGGATTTGCCTTTGAATGCAGAGGAGGCATTCAACATGAAAGCAACGGCACACTTATAGAGTGAACCCTCTTTTATTACTGCTCTTTAAATCGAACCCTTTTCTTTGCAATACTTCCCAAAAATGAAGAGGAAAATGTGCGTTTCATAATTGGAAAAATGTATTCGTGCGCTTTAAAAATGCTGTTTGCGTACTCAGTAGCACAGCACCAAATCTGTACAAGAAAGAAAGTATAAGTCCTCGTTAGACGTGGAATATTAATTATGAGACTCACCGTGGCAGCTTTTATCTAGTCAGGCTTCTGTCTTCAAAGATGGTGACCTCAATCTTAATAGGATTCAGTCAAGGAAAAGAAATTTGAATTCTCCTCATTTTGCACGTCAGGAAATATAAACTAATGATACTGCAGCTATTGTGCATATTTGACCATTTCTGGACAGGCTTGTGGAAACAGCATTTTGCCTTCAAACCTCTGGGTGGTTGTTTACTGGGCAGTAGCTGACTGGCACTGTCATAGCCCTGTAAAGTCTTCAAATGCTGATACAACAAGCCAACAGAGCGTTGCTTACCTACCTTTAGCCATTTATACTGTTTATCCCTTTACAACTTTAAACATTTGGGAGGACCTGTCATGCTGTTGAATTTGTATTCCACCTGGAAATTGGAAGTTCCCCCTTCATTACAACCGTACACGGGTGCATTTACTCACCCATTTAACTAGTCTTAGAGTTATGCATAATTAAGAGCATCACGGACACTACGCCCATGTTTTGTTAGTGTATGCTAACAATGCAGGCCCCTCATAATAAAACTTCCAACTTCTTGTTTTTGGTAATAACAATTTGGACCAAATAAGAACTCATGTCAAAATAGGGGTTTTACAGTATATTAGTTATTTAGCATCATGGCATAAATGGTTTTAAGGGTCAAAGACCAGATAGCTTTGGCATTCTTTTTATATTCTGATTTATCAAACTTTCTTAATTAACGAAATTAGGTTGCGCCATCATTAGCAAACATTAGTAAAATAGCAGTTTCTGTATGACACGAGGAAGAGGGACTAGTAGCAAGTGATCCAAAAACAGTCAGCCTGTCAGACTTGAAGGGAAATCTCAGATGGTAGTATTAAGCAGTCACACCATTAGACAATTATAAATATGATCATCATGGATCTCTGGTTTAAAACGTTCAACGACGGTTCAGGTGAGAAATTCCTGTCAATCTCCCAGCGCTTCCCGTGCCAAAGTCAGCACAGCGGCCCGTCAGTGTTGGAGAAACAATCCAGATCCCTGTCAACCCCAAAATCATAGGCAAGAGGGAGAACAAAGCTCAGCTGTGAACAATTTCAGTCATATTTTGCTCTCCCTAATCTTCCATTGCTGCCCAGTTACAATTAATTGGGATGTTGAGTCACCCCCCCCCACACACACACACACACACACACACACTGGCCAGCCAGGATGTTGGTGTACCCGCTGATTTTATGCAGATGCTATAGATTACATACTAACTTTTATCTGGTGTTTTTACAGGGTATCCCTACATAGCACTGGATTTCCTGTAAGCCGCCCGGACTGCTGCTTTCCATTTTCAACCAGCAGTTACAGGGAAAGACGTGGTGGGGGCAGAAGGCCTGTAAATCACTACATCTATTAGGTCATTGTGAACGCTCCTTGTTCTACTTAAAGCTGTGGTGTGATTACATTCACATTTGCTGATCTCAGGGTATGTTTAACAAGTTAGAGCTACCTAAAATATTCAACCTATCATTCTTCTTTCCCGTACATGCTCATAACAAGAATAGCCGTAAAAACACTGACTGTGTTTCTACTTAGTTTGGAAGGGTGGCAATCTGATTTAAGTCTATACTATTGTTTTCATTATATTCTATTGTGTTTCTCTGAAGTACAGACTCAGATAAATACATAAAATTAATCTATTTAGGGGATCATTGTTTGCAGTTTATTTCTAAACAATGGAACAAGACTCAACAGACTGGAAAATTCCACCTGAGTGAAGAGAACAAACAGCACCTTGTGACAACAGACACTTAAAGGTAGGATACGACTCGCAGGCCTCTCTCGATGGGATCGGTGAGCAGGAGGCCTCGTGGTGCGTAGATCTTGTCATTCTGCTCCTGAATGTACTTTGCAATCTTCTTCAAAACCTAAAAAGGGACAGCAATATTAGCTTCAGAAACATTGCTCATGGACAGCAAACCACTAGTGTAATTGTAACAGCAGTAGACATTGTTTTTCAAGTGTTCATTCTCTGTCGTCTTAATGATTCAACTAGTCAGCTTTGTCAAGCTTGAATTTATGCTCACTGGATTATTAACAATTATTAACATTTTTCTATAAGCAAGTACTCTATTCCAACTGCCCATCACTCATAACAGTGACACTATCTGCTTGAACCACACTGCTTAAAATCCATGAAAGATGTTGGTGCTACAGGCAGCTTAAAACAGATATTAGACAGTTTTTGTACATACCTCCCCCCCTTTGACTTGTACTGTGTTCTTATAGCTAACCAACGCTAGACACTAAGGCTGGCCGTCTAACCTCATTACTTTTTTGGTACCTAACAAACTGTGTCTATACAAATTTTATTTAGGCAACATTTTTGCACATCTGCTTGTGTTTAGACAACATTTTTTAACACACTCCATTGAGCAGTGCGGCACTATAGATGGCAACATAGGCGTAGATTAGGATATGGACAGTAAGGGACACTGCTGAATTGTCGCCACCAATAGTTTAGTTTTACTGATCTCAGATGATCACGACATTGTAATTCCACAGACAAGTTACCGGTAAGATCTATGCAGAGTTGATAGGTTTTTGCATTTTCTCCAAAAAGTAGGCTGATAGACAACGAGACAATGGGGGATACCTGACGTGATGATCTGGCAACCTGGTGGACTAATCATTGTCGGCTAGCTGCAGCAATGAATGAATGGTGATTTGAGTTTAAACGTTTCAAACATAACAGAAAATAAACACCTTAGCTGAATATAACTAACACCACTCAACTGATATTATACAGTCAAGGCCAAAAATATCTACAGTACATATTTATTGGAGCACACTAATTGATGGCATGGCTGTAGACTCTTAGTGTTCGTAAAGTTTGGATTCTTTTGTTAAAGGAGTGGGTTTTAATGAAAAATCTTGTTTCTATTCTTCAAAGTACTGAAAAAAGTATAACTTTGGAATTGGTACCAACATTCAGGTATTGTTTTAGCACATTATTTAGTCTAGAAAACATCAGGAAATAGTGCCTGTTCTATTCATTCTATTTGCAATCATATAAAACAGATAGTAAGCAGAAAAATCATCAGTTTTACGAAGCTAGACCCAAACAGTTGTTCCACAATGTCCAGTTAAAGAGGTGGTATTATGCTCTTTGGCTTTTCTTCTCTCCTTTATTGAGTTATATCTCTTTTTTGTGCATGTAATAGGTTTGCAAAGTGAAAAAGCCTAAAGTCCAGCTCAAAGGGAGTTCCCATCTCACACAGAAAACTCTGCTCTGAACTGCCTGAAAACAGCTCGTTTGTAGTCCAGCCCTTCACTTCCTTTACTTGTGATGTCACAATGAAAACGCGTCATAAAGCTTGCCAAGCGGCTAGAATTATAATTAAAATAACGTAACTTCACAGACTGTTCAAGTGTGGAGTTGTTGTAAACGTTGGCTAACACAGCTAAAGTTATAGCTATAATGCTAATGTTACACCTGATGTGAAAGCTACTGAGCAAACGTTCAAATTGTTTGGCCAATTTTTATGTAAAATTGAGCTGAAATATGGTGATTTTTGTAGTGGTTTATGGTAAGATGTGGAACAATGATGTTGTGTGGTTGTGGACTTGTGAGTAACTTATACCATCTGCTAGGTTACGGTCTCAGTCTGAAGCAGCTTTGATTTGGATCACACTACCTTGTTTCTTATGACCCGCCCTTCTCTGCTTCTGATTGGCTAGTAGTCCTTACCTGGGAACTGCGCATGTGCAACTCCCAACAAAGATTTTGTACAAGTAAGATGCATCACTCTGTAGCTCAAGAGCAGAGCGTACAACACATAGGGTGAAAAGAGGAGCTGCAGCAATGTGCAGTATGAGAAAAATATGGTGTTTTTTGAAAATTAAACCATGTAAATCTGTTCTGGTACAACCCCTAATTAAGATTTTGAACCTGAAAATGAGCATAATACCATCCCTTTAAAGTTCTCCAGTTTCTTTCTCTAGTAGGTCCTGTACAAACCAAGCAAATCGTTTTTTGCTAAATAGGAAACAAGAGGATCTATCTTGCAACCCACCACATTCTTGAGCTGAAAAGCTGAATACCAAGACTATTTTTTACAACCAGTCAATTTAAATTGCATGACTTTATGAGCGCTCATAAAACCCAAACCAAGCCAAATGTTTTTTATCCCAGTTCACTCCTGTCCACTAAAAGACAAAGAACAGGAAACGATCACTGACGTACTGATCCATTTACATTACACATACATCAACTGGGCCAAAAGAGATTTTAAATGTACACAAATCATATTTATTTCCTAGCTCACAGAGGTCATAAATTACTGATTTACAGCAAAGCTAAAAAAGGTTCCACACAGCAGCAACAGAACTTCTTACAGTAGAAACCCACTTCAATCATCTCCAACGTCACCTATACATGGAGTCCCTGATATGTCCACATGCAGCAGTAGGTCACCGCAATGTGCTCAAGCGCAATAGTCACATCGCAGAACAGTGCAATGTCAAGCAAGTCAAACTAACCACCTGAACTTTTTTGCCGCTTGATAGAAAAGGAAAACTCTGCAAGAGAAGTTTGTCTGATGTAACATCATCATCGCAGAAAAGAAAATTATTGCTATGTAAGTTTTTCATAATATCGTGCAGCCCTATAGAGCAGACAGTGCAAGATACAGGATCTAAAATGGAAATTCATTATTAGGTCTGGGAATCAGTTGAAATTTTTACAAATTTTTTGATAAAGGTAAAATGTGACAGAACAGCATTATGATGAAGCACTGTAGTGCTGCACAAACGCCCCTGCCAACATATCTTGTTCTCCAGATGTAAGAAAACATGTTTGTGTGGTAAACAGTCCAGCAAATGTCACATCATCATGATTTTAATAGTTTGTTTCAGTGAAACTGAAAATTGTGATGCAAAAATGATTATTTCCACTAACTGTGAATCATATTGCAATTGTAATATCTGTCAAAATAATGTCAAGATGTTTTTTTAGTAAGAGTGTACTGTTAGCATAAATGATTTAAATGTACATTTTATAAGTTGTGTGTTTATAGTATTTAGTAGGTTAATTAGCGATCTTGTTAAGAGTTTCATCTTTGGGTGTTTTAGATAGATGTTTAATTTAGCATTAATTAGTTTGTTTTAATATTTGTTAGCTAGCAGCCACAATGGGTCAGCACTGTTGCTTTTCCAGCTGCAAAAGTACCTCCGGACAACACAGCTTTCCAGCAGACCTAAAAATTAGGCGCCAGTGGTTGCGTGCATTGGGCCTACCGGACCATGATCTCCTGCCTAATTGACTACAATTGACTGCATTCTTTCCCTTGATGAGATCCCATGATAAACAGCTGGGCTACAGCTACATACTGACATTCCCCTACAGATAGACTGACACAGACTGGAAAGCCTCTCAGTCTCTCTGAGCCGCTAGCTTAACTACTACACAGGTACCACGCAGAAATTCTTTAGTAAGGGCCACAGATCTGCTTCTAGTGACAGTGAAAGCTCCAGCTCTGACCACCACCTCCATATGGCTCGCTGGTGATCAGTCTGTCACGCTGTTGGTCATTCTGGTCGGTATCTCCTCGCCTCCCAGGTCACACGATACGTAGCCACGCCCCCTTTTAAATATGCCAGGAGGGAGCTAGCAGCTAGCAAGTGTTTGTCTTTAAGTCTGTGAGGACTCACAATCTTACCAGATATTTTTCAGATCCTGAAACTGTTTGCATAAGAAAACGCTATTGGAAAGGTTCACCAAATGTATCTGTGACATATCTGTTATGCACTACGATGAAAAAATCCCTCACAAATCATTTTAGAATAAGACATATCACTGTATGTTCAAGTTGTTGTAGGAAAGGAGACCGTGTTTAATGTGAAACCCCCCTAACTCACAGTGAAGCTGCCTTTCAAGATTACCACCTCTAAGTGATGGGATCACTTTTTCTACAAACACATTTGAGTTGGGAAACAGAATGATATTAACTTTTCTGAAATGGGGAGCAGCAGGAGAGATAATATCAACATGTCTGTTGGCTGATTTATATTCTGAGATTCCTGATCTTAATTGCCCATATGTTGGTTCATTATGTCGTTTCTGTGGTGTTGTATATATTGGTTGTAATTTCAAATTGTCCATATGCCCTACATTAATATATTTTACTAATCTTTTTGCTTGTACAATCTGTATAGAGTTTTGGGAATGTATGTATAGTTGTGTTTTTGCTTGATAGACTGTGAGGTTGTCAGTGAGGCCGGCCTGAGGACGCCTCTAACTACAGGTAGCCACTTGGTGCACCGGTTGGTTTATAGGTTGACTGACACTAACAAAAACTCAAATGGGCTTTTGACCTCGTGACTTGAAAAACTAACTCTAAAAGCAGCAAACAAAATGAACTCAAGGTGATCCCAGCTCATTTTGTACATTACCAAAATAGCAGTGCGGTTCATTACCCGGCCTCATTCATTCTCACAGTATGCATCTACACAGGGGCAATATCACTCACCTTCTCATAGTGAGTCTCCATACACAGGAAGATGGTGTACGCTGTGAGGCAGGCCAGACAGCCTTCAATATATGACTGGCTTCCCAGCTTCTCAGCTTCAGCGTACAGGTTATTCAGTGTCCGCACCGTCTCCTCAAATTGCTGTTTGTCAATCTGAAATACATGGAAACATAAAGAATGTGTCAGAGAGTTAAAATCATTACACATGCCACAGAGCCAGGTATATATTTGGACAGTTTCTGCCTGTGTTGGGACATTTGAGTGGAAACTCGTCTTATTAGCACCAGATCGTTTTCTCCCATTCTTTCCATCTATTGGATAAATGAGGGGCAGAATTTTCTTGGACTGATCATCATCAAGGGAATGCTGGGCCTCCTTCCTTCCCACATTGGAAACACCTCCTGAAATGATTAGGATTCCTTGGCCATATGCTCTGTGAATGTTTTCACTTAATAACTGACAGGACACACACAGTGACAACCCAGGAAGGAATCTTGATGGTTTCTCCTTCTCCGATGGCACAGGCCCACCTTAAAAAAGATGAAGACATATCTCTGCTGTTCTGCAGACAGCTTTTGGGATCTAAACTGTAACTACGACCGGCTGATAATCAAACCAGCGTTTCTCAACTGTGGGAATACTGGTGAAGGGTGGAGAACTGCTGGACTGGAAGGCTCTTTTGACCAGGGTGTTGACACTAGTCCCATGCTGGTGTCCAGAATGGATCTGCTGATCTCTCAATGAAGGGAAAAAGAAGGAGCCTCCAGACCAGACGAGGAGTCAGCCAGTGGCCTCCTGAGCCTCTGTAAACCCTCCAATGTTCTGCTCCCTTGTGCCCGAGGAATGCAACAACAAGCTCCAACACATCAGTGGTCTCAGGCGTGTTTCGTACCCGCCACTGAGAGCCTTTGTTTTCCTACTAAATTTCCAATTCAGAGGCTGCGATTCAAACCACATTTCTCCGCCTGAGCATCTTTCCATTACGTCTGATGCAGCGATATCAGCATTCCAAGAATGTTAGATGAGCGTGCAAGGCTGAACAGGGTTGATAAATTGAAGTAGGGAAGAGGATGTTCCCTTAATTGAAAATGTCACAAAATATAATGTGAACCGAGGAAATAAATATTAGACACAGGTCACTGAAAAGTTCTCACTTAATCAAACTCTCATGAATGGTTTTGGCAATTAAGCTGCCAAATGCATTTAGAACTTTCCAAGTTCTTTGGCACAATTCTCCAAAAGCACTACAACAGAAAAGAGCTAAAATAATAAAGCCCACAGCCTAAGATACTTGTCTGCAAGTATGCATGCAAACCTCTGCAATCGAGGACCTGAACTGCAAGGCAAAATCAAACACTGGTAGAAAAATGTTGGCTGAAAGGAACATTTCAACATAATGTTCTGAAAACTTTCTCACAAAGTGACATAAATGACTGTCCTAATACAGAAGCCACTGAACAGCTTGGCATAACTGCATACGTCATAAACTGGGATTACAGCAAAACACTTAAAAAAGTGGAAAGAACTTTTTTATGGTAGGGGATGGAAGTTTTTTGCCTTCCAAAGGGGAAGCATCCTTCAGTTGTCCAGAAGTTCAGTGTGTGTGTGTGTGTGTGAGAACTGAATCCCACCGGAAAACATGGGAGGACCACCCAATCAAGAGGGAAGTGCCAATAAACCACCAATGAGCGGTTTAAGTGTTGTGGAGCTGCTCTTTTGATGTGGTGCATGCATTTCAAAACTGAAGCTTTCTGTCCTGCGAACTCTGAACCGTTGGCTGGCACCGTGTTTAATGTGGCGCGGCGGGTTTTCAGTCTCAGCGACCTGCTCTTCCTCCTCCACATCATTAAGGCTCCTTGCTTTAAACCCACTTCCACCGTAGTTCACATGAGGACAAAGTCCAGCAGGGTTCCTCAGGGGAAGTTGCACACAGTATTTTTCACTTTTGGCTGCATGTTCATTTCAGCCTCCTTTTAGGTTCCAGTGCCAAAACAGCAACTGTAAAACATTCTGATATGGACAGTTTGCTTTGATAAATGCACCATTTCAGCAGTTTTGTGGTTTTCTTGCAGAACATTAAGTGAAAATATATTATATACCTTATTATTTGTCTACTTTTGTTAGCAGCGATGGAAGTCAGTTTGCTCTAAAATGAAAATCAGCCTGGTTCAGAGTAAGTAGAGTCTGTACTAAATCACAGTACAGAGTGGCCCAGAGGTTTACACTGCTACACTTTACAAAGCAGAAAGGTCCCGGGTCACATGGCTTTCCAGTAATGGACATGGGTGACAACATACTGTGAGTGGAAAATCTCATCTACATCACCAAAATCAAGTTGTTACAACATTAACAAAAACATATTTTTAGTGAAAAAGTAACGTAGAAGATAGCTGGCTGTCTTGAGTCACGACAGCCCCGTAATATGAAGAAACACTATACGCATACATAAATAGAATCAACTGTATACCACGGAATACAGCAAAATGTGGATGCAATAATAAATATTGAGGCTTTCCGTAGCTTTATTTTCACAGCACTTCAGCCAAACAAACGCGACGCAAGACGCAAGCTTGTTTAAAACATCTTGGCTGTGTGAGGCGGAGTCAGTTACATCAATTTCATTGATATGATTACATTTTTTTATATTTTCTTACTGAATTGTTGAAATTTTATTCATCCACCACATGATTACACACGCTTTCTGATGACACAATGTGCTGAAATCGCAAAACACAGAATTCAGGAATATTTAAACAGAAAACACAGAATCTGGCAAAAAATTCAAATGGATTTCATAGGGGCCTAATTTCAGTTTCATAGGGGCCTAATTTCAGTCATTGTCATGCTGCAGAATAAATTTGGGGCCACTCGGATGCCTCCCTGATGGTACTGCATGATGAATAGGTTTTTGCCTGTCCTTCACGGCATTAAGGAGACCATTAATTCTGATCACCAACTCTATTTGCAGAAATGCAGCCTCAAACTTGCAAGGAACCTCCACCATACTTTCTGGTTGTCAAATTTTGACTCATCCATCCAGAGAACCTGCCATGACATTAGATGGTGTACCAGGGTCCCACTGTTTTCTGCAGCTCTGAGCTGATGGCACTGCTGGAAATCGTCCGATTGCGAAGGGAAGTAAGCATGATGTGTCTTTTATCTGCTGCAGTAAGTTTCTTTGGCCGACCACTGCGTCTACGATCCTCAGCATTTCCCGTTTCTTTGTGCTTCTTCAAAAGAGCTTGGACAGCACATCTGGAAACCCCTGTCTGCCTTGAATGTCTGCCTGGGAGAGAGACCTTGCTGATGCAGTATAATAACCTTTTTGCGGTTCTCAGTGTTGCTATGGTGTTTGACTTTTGACAGTAAACTGTCTTCAGCAGCCTCACCTTGTCAGCAGAGTTTGGCTGTTCCTCACCCCTGCTGTATTACTCCTACACAGCTGTTTCTGTTTCAGTCAATGATTGTGTTTAAACCTAGATATTTAATTGGCGATCATTAGCACCTGTTATGGTATAATTGTTTAATCATACACCTGACATGATAAGCCTACAAAACCCCTGACTTTATGCAAGTGTACCTAGGAAAAATGATACTGTTTTGAAGGCAAAGGGTGGTCACACAAAATACTGATTTGGTTTTGATTTTTCTTCTTCCTCCTTCTGTTCACTCACTTTGCAATTTGTTAATTGATCAAAATAATCAACATGTCTATTTTTTAAAGCATTCTTACTTTCAAGCATTTGTTCCACACCTGCCTGAAACTTTTGCAAAGTACTGGATAACAATGATATCCTGGCAGGTGGTGCAGGTCTTATAATATTCTTTCTAAACATGAACAAGCTTCTTGCTTTGGTCACATCACCCTCAGGGTAGTCCTTAAACCAGTTTGAACACACTGACAACTCATCCACAAGACAAGACAGAGGTCATGGAAACAGTCCACCATTTTACAAACTGAATGTGTGTGTGTGTGACTGAACAATTTAGTGGAGAGGTGTATCCTACCCTGGTCTCCAGCTCAGAGGGGAACTTGGTTTGGAACTGACACACAGTGCCGTTTGTATAATCTCGCTGAATGAAGACTTTGGCAGCAATGGCTGCCTGTTGCCTCATGTCCTGCAAGCTGTGAGTCTGTGAAAACACAAGATAGCAGGTGATACATTAATGCAATGGCCCTCTGGAGTGTGTCTGTTCATCAGTAACTACACTGAGCATGTTTTATACATCATACAGACAAGCTGAGAAAACGCTGAAAGGAATAATGTGGGGCTTTTACACAATTTCACTGTATCTCATGTCTTTCATAAACAGTTTTTTATTTAAAAAAATTTAAACTTATTAATGATTTCAGTGATTTACAATGGGATACATAGACTCAATGAAAAAGGCACAAAAATGAGTTGGAATAAGATCACTTTTCATGTAAATAGAATAACAGTTTTATTTCTTACATTTTTCTGCCGTATTTGCGTGCGTATAAATAGTGCAACTATATTTTTCACAACCTTAAATGGTTCTGTAATATTTTGAGTGATTATCACTAAAGATTTGTACATTTTTATACGCGTCTGTGTTATTCTTGTTGTATTTTGGGTTCCTGGCTGCTTCAAACTTTGTTAAATTAATAAAATGATAAGTCAGACTTATAACCCCTCAGAAGATCATTGGTACCCATCTCCTGAGCATCAGTGATCCTGGTGAGGTGAGGTGCCTACACAGAGCCTAAAGGATGTTAAAGGACAGTACCCACCCAGCCACAGCCTGTTCACCCTGCTCCCTTCTGGGAAGAGATATAGAAGTTTCAGGTGCCGCACCACCAGATAGCTTTTTTCTCCCAATCTATCAGACTTTTAAGCTCAAATTCACCCTCAGCACTGCTCCATTGATTATAATTTATTTCTGTTTACCATTTTATAATTGCTTGTGTGTTAATGTATATTGTCTGCTATGTAGCAGAATAGAGTTACAAAACTCAATTTCACTCTATAACTTGTTATATTGTGACACATAAATATACCTACCGACCTACCTACCCGAGTTTGACCTGGAAAAAAAGAAGATAACCTGCATAGGACCTGTTTAAAGGGTGCTAAACATATGACAAAAATAAATGCACAGGAACCATTAAATAATCTATAGTGTTATCTGTACCACCCAAGGAAAAAAGTGTGTGTGTGTGTGTGTCTGTGTAATGTAAGTGCCATCTCCCTACTTAATGTTTTTGACTGACTGAGTAGCAAACTTTTAAGTCTACTTCAAAAAATAATGACATCTTCAAGTTTCGGTTTTATCCAAGCATTAGCTTACAGAACACCAAAGATATTCAACAGGCCTTTTTAACATATGACAGTGGGAAAAGCACAGGTGTAAATAATCAAATGAATGGCTCACTGTGGCAAGTTACCTGAATAGAACAGCAATGAGTTACACCTCTGCTTCTCCCACGGTGTCAAGTCAAAATGTCTGATATTCACAAGGGCTATTTGCCATTTAAGATTTGGAAACCAGGTGATGTTCACATTTTACTTAAATCATTCATTCTATATATTACTACTCCTTTCAGCACCAGACCACCTAATGTACTTGTCTTCCAAAATGATTTGGTCTCCACAGGTGTTGCATCCAAACACTGACTTTGTCTGCCCTTTTTGAACTGTTGTGTTCTATCAGAAGATCATGGCAGCACACGACTACCATCACCAACAATCCTCACTAACGTTACCATCTTTATGCTGTCAAGGGGATCACGTTTTGTTGATTTATCCACAGCCTTATTCTTCCCCTGCATATAGCTTGTATATCTCCGTATCCAAGTGTGTGTATACCTATACATATGTAATTAGCACACTGACAATTCATCAAACCCAGCCAACTGATTTGCTCCTCGCTCAAATAAAAACACTTTGCCGACAATGCCGCATATATGAGTCATATAAATATCCTAGCTGGTTAATAATTATGCAATCACTGAGGTTAAGTTACTTAACTTATGTTAGTAAGTTAAACATTACCAGTCATGTTACCGAGTGACCAGTGAGCTATCAAGCTAAGGCTGTCAGCTTTCCTTCTGGTTTTCTGTCAGACATCCGCTCAGAAAACACGAATAACACTGTGCCATTAGGAATAAATTGTCAACACATCACGAACATTTGAAAAATAGCGTCCATAATCATCGATAGTTTACCTCTGCCATGTTGAACAAGATTTCTGGTTATCTTCCGCTAGCAGCTTTTAGCATGTACTACGTAATAATCTTTCCGCGGGAAACGTTTGCGTAAAAACAAGGGTTCCGGGTGTACAAGACAATTCGGAGGTAATTTTATGCTACTTTCTTTTTATATGCAGTCTATGGCTACTTTATACTTCTGTTCCACTAAATATAAATGGGAAATATTGCACGTTGTACTCCACTATATTTGTCCTTTTAATAAGACCTTTCTATGTGACTCAGATGTTTTTTTGTTTGAAAACTGACAACACAGAACTCAGTTTGGGTTCCTGTTTCCACAACAACATTAAGCCTTAATAACCCAGAGAGGCAGATGTTCCTGGCATTGGATCATCACAGACCCCAAAAGCCACAGTTGTGCAAGCAGATCCATTTGTGTGTTTAAGAAAATACCAAACACACAACAAAATAGTCTATTACTTAAATATTTGTAAAACGTATTGTGACCATCCAGTTTGTTGTTGGAGAGTCAACCACCTACTTAACCCCTCAAAACATAATGTATTGTAATAAGTTTAACTCTAACAGCAGAAATACTACTCGTTTTTCACAGCCATCCCATGCATCACGAGGCCTGGGCCAGGCTTTCAGGGGGTAATTAGTAGATCTGTATGAATATAAAAATCCAACTATTGCTCCTGCACTGGGCTTGTTTGTCTACTGGCAAAGGGGTGGGCCTTAAAAGCCCCTTGCTCTGTAATGGCTGGTGTGTGAGAGACCACTAATGAGCACCATTTGGACCCTTCATTTACAACACATGCTGGTTAATAGCCCACGACAATGGTTTTACTGCTGCTCAGGCCACTCTTGCTGAAGTGGCTCTCTAATGGAAGCACTAGACATCCCTCCTAGATAACCACTTCTGCCCAGTCTGCTATGTATAGAGAGGAACTGCAGCTGGATCATTCAGCTCAGTAAATGTCACTCTTACAGAGATTATATATACACATGTATTATGGCAGTGCCCTTTTGTGAAAAACATCAATTAATGAGAACAGGTATTCCATGCTATGCTGGACACTGCAAAAAGAGATGGCACTAACAGTGAAGGCTAGGTGTTTGATTTCCACTGGGGCACTCTCATACCGCAAAGTGGAATAAAATTGGCCACCAAACAGCATTGTGTGCACACTAGGGTTAGAGGTTAACCTCAGTCTGTGAGGGAAAGACTGCTCAATTCAGTTTTTTATTTTTAACTTTGATGGCTTTGCCTGAAGCGCCCGTGTTTCACCACAATTACTCACATCTTGACTCAAGTAGTGAGCACTTAAAGATGCATAAAACAATAGGGACAAATCAAATAGCACACCTCACACCGAAGAGTAGATGAAAAAAAACAGGGAGATTTGGTCGTCACTGTTTTGAAGCAGAGCACCACATTTCCAGACTCCAGACAGCATTCAAAGATCACTTCTTGTGCAGTCTATTTCTCATTGGTGGAATGGAGTATGTACTTCCGACTATATATGTAAGTAAAACGTTGAGGTATTTCTACTTTACCTAAGTATTTCACTTTTATGCTACTTTTTACTTCTACTCCCTTACATTTCAGATGGAAATAATGTTCTGCTACTCCAAGACATTTATCTGACAGCTATAGTTACTTTCAGATTAAGATTTTGCACATACAATATAATCAGTTTGCAAAATATGACACAATGCTATATGTTAACATTCAGTATATAAAGTCATTAAAAGTAGCTCCCCGTCAACATGCTGCTTACATTCTAATTCAATCCAATAATACTAAATAACATTAAATGTATTTATGCAGCATGATGGGCACTTTTACTTACTTTAAGTACACTCTAGTTATAATACTTGTGTATTTTTACAAATGCTTTAAACATTTAAAAAATACTGTATTTGGAGTATTTTTGTCTGATATGCTTTTTTACAAAAAAAGTTCAATGACTTTGTTACAAACAGTTTCATCATGTAACATAAACACATCTTTGGGTGGCGGGCGAGTTCGAGTAAAATTTTGAATGTAGGACTTTTACACTGTGGCACTGGAACATAAGTAAAGGATCTCAATATGTTTCCACCTCTAAACTTGTACAGGCCTCCCTATTCCAACTTGGACTTTTCATTTTGAAACAATCTACATCACAGTGAGCCCTTTCATGCCTTGGCTAAAGATCCACATATACAGGAGTTCATCCAGATGCAACATGGTCCCTTTTAAACTAAGATTTATAGCCAACTGACTAACAACTAAGCATTGCCATATTCATGTCCTTGACAGAAAGGCTGATTCTTGTGCTGCTATGTTGAAATCCTTATATCCCTTAATGTTCTCTCTGGCTCCAAAGATCAAAATGGCTTCCTGTGAACATGCACCAAAATCCAAGTAGAAACAGCAGCAGCAAAATAGTGCTGAGTTTTCTCTGACAGCAGCCAAGGTGCCCATTTGTTCAAGGTATTTTAGTAAAAATATGTGCCTTTTAGTGACCTCTATTGGCAGCCTGCAGGAACTGCAGCAATCTGAATAGGTCTAGCACATTATGGCATATAACTGAACAATAAAGTCACATTTTCAGAGCGAAGAGAAGCAAGAAAGTACGGATTATTATTATTTTGCTTTGAGCCTTTTAATAGATCACTTAGAGGATTGAAATTGGAAAAAGTACTTAATCAACAAAACACAGGTCATCGCCGTTTGTAACGCAGAGCACCACATTTCCAGACTCAAGACAGCATCCAAACATCAAATCACTTGAAACAGTCTATTTCTCAGTGGTGGAATGGAGTATGTACTTCAGAGCATATATGTAAGTAAAACGTTGAGGTAGATCTACTCTACTTAGGTATTTCCCTTTTATGCTACTTTTTACTTCTACTCCATTACATTTCAGATGGAAATATTGTTCTTCTACTCCACTACATTTATCTGACAGCTGTAGATACTCAGATTAAGATTTTGCACATACAATATAATCAGTTTGCAAAATATGACACAATGCTATAGGTTAACAAAGGTTATATAAAGTCATTAAAGTAGCATAAATAAATAAACAAATAAAAACAGAAATGTTGCAATACAGAAATAATTAAATAACTATTCTAATTAATAAATAAAAAAATAAAAAAGGAAAATAAATCAATGTTGGCAACTGATCAGGAAATGTACATTATTTTGAGGTTATTAACACCTAATTCATTGACATATAGACACAGAAAAACATAAATAAAGAAATACATTTTTTTTAGAAATACACCAATAATTAAAATAATAAATGCAGAAAAAATAAATGTTAATGTATTGAAATGTATAAATAGTTATTTTGTATCTATTTATTGATGATTCAGTCATTTTTCATCCTCCGTAGTCGCCCTCTACTGAGCAGCTGAAAATGTCAGTATGTGGAGGAGTGTGTTGAAATTCCAACGAGTGTGGATCTTTGTTCCAAATAAAATAATGAAAGCCAGAAATCTCAGCACCTGCCCACATAATTATTTAGTCATTGGCATTTATCAACAACCACATTAACCACCACAGATAACAGGCAATTAACTCCAGGTTAATCATTTAATCTTATAATTTAGGTTTTTAACATTAAGCACAAAGAGAGACATTTCTTCAAAGCTAGATATAAATTAACGAATTGGGGGGGTAAATTTGCTGTATTTAATGCATGAATGGCTCAATCACACATGGTTTATGTGTACCACTCAGGAGTCCCTCATGCCACCCCAAATTACCAGTGTAATGACACGACGTTATTACCTCACCTCCATATGACTCACTTGCATAAGATGTGGTCGACAGCATGCATTCAACAGCCCGTGGAAATTCAAACAATCACTTTCCTCAAGATGCCTGGGAAGGATTTAAAGGGAAACATACATACCTCTAAATGTTTATTAGCTGTTTAATATCCTGTTTAGGGTGTCTTTTATCAGTTTGGTGTTGTTAAGTCTCTTGGTTAAGTCACTGTTTCCTGTAGGTACTATGAGCCTTCTGTTCCACTAGGCATTGAAGAAATACAAATTATCTAAGACAGAATCCACATAGTCATGCGGCACATTATGTTCTGATCTCAACTGTTGCACTTAAAATGAGTATTATACACCTTGTTTCTGGTGTCAAAAAAAATGCAAATCTTATTTTGTGGTGGAAATATATGACATACAATGGCAAAAGCTCCCTATTCATTGTAGCAGGATGTGGGCTGCCCTCGTGTTGGGCATGTTTTGACTGGGATCGGGGACTCAAGTTACCTCATATTTCATTCAGCAGCCTGAGAGGCATTAATCATCACGTTAAATCAAGACAGTTTTATAGTGTTGTGTGTGAGGGTGCTTATAACCCACATAACTTCACTGCTCACTTAAGACCTATGTACCCAAATGTCCAACTTAACAAGCAGAAGTCTTTACAGCTGGGCATTCTTCCACAGTTCCAATGACCAAAAAGTTCCTTCTCAAAAGCAGCGGCCAAAACTTTCTCACTAATAAAGTCATTTCAATTCTGGGTTGTTGTTTTTTTTTTTGCCTGCCTGACTGGTTTTGTTGAATATAAAGACAATACTGAGATGATTAAAACTATAAAACAAAGATCTCAAATGGCTAACTACTGATTCCACCATCTGCTACTTTAAGAAAACAACCTTGTTTCCTGATTGAAAGATGGCAGCGCTAACTGGTAAAATAGATTCAACAATGTAAATATTAATCCAAATCAATTCAGGATTGTGATTCAGAAAAATGATCGCATTATTACTTGGAAGACTTTTGCTTATCCATGAAAATTCTTCCTTATGGATTTTAGCATGGTTTAAGTTTAAGCTTTTAAAATAAAAAAAAGTATCCTTTCCTGTAGACAAATGAATGCAGTTGGGCAGTTGCATGCTCAGCTGACCTGCTGTGCACTGACTGAAACACGTTTACTAGGTTACACTCGTAGTTAATTGGAATGAACTGATTGGCAATGTAATTGTACTCAATTCTGCTTGTAATTATTACCAAATTACACAGTTCTTTCCAGAAAACATCTTAGGAAAGTTTGAGAAATTATGCAAGCAGTTATTTCAAAGACATTCTCCTTTGCGGTATAA